TCAGGTATATCTGCCTTTGAGTGTTATCCTTTTATTACTGTTTCCTCACTTTCTGACATGAAGTGATGGAAACTGCTTGGATCACTGCTTTTTCCTACCACTACCGAGTTTACAGTTGAAAATATGAAACATACAGTCCTTTCATCCTTACAAAGTTGTGGGTACTGGAAAACAATCTCTCAATAATTGAAGCAGAAAATAGCACTAAATTTTAAAATCATATTAATATGTATTATTATGTATAACCAAATATATTTACTCCTTCAATAGATGGCTATATTTAGCTACAGTTGTTACAGCATTATTCCAATTCTACCATGTCAATGATGGTGATTTGCATTTTTTTATTTAAATAGTTCCTGAAGATATTCTTAAGATGAACACAAAATCAACTTCTAATTTCTGAATGACATCTATAAACTGTTTTTTAGGAGTCTTATATCTAAATGGCCACGAATGCATTCGGTGTATAGGATATATGCCTCTTTCATTTCATACTTTTATTTTTTGAAAAACAGCATGTAGAATATTTTTCTCAACTCAGGGGTTTATCTTCTAAATACAAATCCAGGAAAATATGTTCATCTAAACCTAGAAAGAATTAAATATACAGGCTAAGTTATAAGCTTGCAAATTCCAGGGCTTGTGGAGACATTAGTATATATTGTTTCAGGGTCAGTCTATAGTGTGAATGTCACTCTTCTGTCCCTTGATGAATATCTGTCAGTGACAGCAACTACATGGTATTAAAGCATCAGTGTTGTGACTCTGCTAATTTCTGGAACCAATCTTTGGATTATGTGGTGTTATTTTGTGAGTGTTACCAAATGGTTTTATGCTATTTCTTTTAAACCTAAGAAAGTGAAGTTAACTGACTCTTAAATTTGGTGAAGTAGAGAGAATACTGCTTTCAGAGCTTGTGGAAAGCAGAGCTGTGTGGATCTGATGCTGAATAACTGTTTTCTTAGTATTCACTGTCATTAATCCTTTTCAGTTCTTAAAATTCATAACCTTGAATAGTTTTCTAAATCACATTTGTTTTTTAGCTAATGCTTCGATGTCTTCTTAGCCTATTTCATGGCGGTAGACTGTAATCAGTAAAAAACAAGATTCATCCATGTTTCAAATGTGACAGAAGAGTCTCTTTTGGCATGGATTTCATTTTCTCTAAATTAACTTTCTCTAAATTAACTCAAATTCAAATCAGCTTTGGCAGATGAAAAACTTTCAGACTCTGTAAGATGTCTTTTGAACAACAAATATTTTTGAAGCCTAGCTGATTGCACCTGGTATTAGCATAGTGCCTGAGAATACCAGTAATGAACTAGTACCCGCTTGTATGAGATGCCATACAAACACAATGCAGAGATTTTTGAGGAGAAAGAGCTTCCTTCACGTTTACACCAAAGGACCCAACACTCCAGCTGTGTGCCTTCACTCAACTTTGGGAGATGTAATCTGGTGTGATCTGAACCAAAATGAACATTCAAAATCATTTCAACCCTGTTACAGAGCATGAAAAACAAAACATATCTGTCAGGGAGCAGGGACGAAGGCTGCAGGGCTGGGGATAGTAGGGAATCCTGCCTGCCTGCCAAAACACACCGACCAGCAACTGCCACGGCAAGCATGGGACCAAGAAGGACTTGGATAATAGTGAGGGCATTCAAAGGTTATTTTCCTGACATTTTCTAATCAAAACAAAACAACACAACACACAATACTGTCCTTCTTCAAGCTATTTATTTGAAATGGGAGTTTTTATTGCAGTTCTGCTCTCCATAGAACAAGCGTTTTTAATGGGAGAAAAATAAACAAACCCTGTTTTAATAACAAAACTTACCAGAATTCTGTTGACATCGAAGCAGTTCCACCATCTCTACTAACAAATAATACAGATCAATCAAAAAAGTTTACAACAGAGCAAGGTGGGGTAGTATACTGAGTAAAGAAACACAAAGAACCTCAAAAAAATTTTTACTTTTCAGAGATTTCCTGCAACATTAAGGGCTTGTTGTCTTTTACCTTACAACTCATTATAAGATATTTTCAGTGGAAAGCTGGTCGAGCTTGCAAAAGTCACTTTAAATATACTAGTTAAGACCTCTGGAAAAGGGGAAAAAATGGAGAGAAATCTCCTAGTGAAATTTTGGACCTTATTTGTGCAGCTTGAACTGGTAACTGATACAGTATTTACTCCTGTGAGTTCTGATGTTGTCTGCTCTGATATAACTGTCTTTATAGCTCCACAAACAGCTGCACAAAGCCCATGGCCCCTGGCTTAAATCTCAGCCCACTCCATTGCTTTCCATTTCAGGAACATCTTTCATAGTAGCTAGAGTCACAAGACAAGGTTTGAAAAGGCAGGTTTTATTGCATAGGTATAGCTGAATGCCAACAATGCTGGAGCCTATACCAGATTTTGATGGCAAATTCTCTCAAAGTACAAGTCATTAGACTTTGCTGTGCTTTCCCAGTTCTCTGCTCGTGGCAGTTGGCTTTGATGCAGCATGGCCCACCTGGCCACAGGACTGGCACCACCTTTCAATCAGGGTAGCACAGCAAAATGTGGTGCACAAGTCTGCGCTACTGCAGTGTCCTCATGCCTGCCCTGCCAAGCAATCCTAGTCTGCTTTGCAGGAGGTTTTGGCAGCAGTTAAATAAAATGTGAAGTTGTGTCTACTTATTACAGCACAAAAATTAGGTAACTGGATGGGGAACTCCTGTTATTTATGGAGGCTGCTTTAATTCCTGGTTCTTTGGAGTTCAGGCAATTAATCCCTGCTTTGATGACTGCATGCACAAAAAAGACCCTTTATGAGAAGGTAGAAGGAGAAGTAGAAATATAGTGGTGAAAACTGAAGTAGGTCCAGCTGGAATAGCCAGCTGTCCTGGGCAGCAGCTGTCCCTTCCAGGACAAAATGAACATACTGGACAAGCCTGGCAGGTCTAATTAGATAAGAGGCTCCTGGATAATGGCAGTTTTGCCTGTGTGAGATCTGAAGGGCCTCACTGTCCTCTGAATTTGTGAGAGACTGGAAAACATCATAAGGTACATTGATTAACATGAACGCACTCCTCTTTCTCCAAACACAAATGAATTTTGCAAGCTGAGGTAGCTGTGTGTCAAATTTGTCAACAGATGTGGTCTCCTGCACTGAGGCATGCATTCTTTATTTAGCATTGCTCACCACCAAGATTATCTCCCTTTAAAGATGATGTCATGTTTTCATCCTACATATTATCCCTCTACAGCTATATTTTTTGGCACGTAAAGCCATCCAAAGCTGGAATCCCATCCTCTGAATAGGCAAAATGCCACTGTAGCAGATGGGTGAGCAATGAAACTAGCACAAGTGACAAGTCAGACCATATCATGGTAGCTTCCTTTCCAGGAACAAGGAAATGGCATTCAGTGGAGTTGTTCAGCACCTAAAATACAGGTATAATGGTATTATTAATTGATTCTTGATGTTAATGTTGAAGAATGCAAGTTATCAAACACAGGCTCAGACAATGAGAAAAGTGTTTTTGTAGTTACTTTGGATGGGAGTTGCACAGAAGAAAATACTGAGTCAATAAATTATTTTTCTAATTCATTTTCTGAAGTAAAGAGTTTTTCCTATGTCGTGGATGGAGTGAGACTGCACTCATAAGTTTATTGTATATTTATTGTATATAGTAAATGTGACAGTGGTTTAACAAGATTAACTCATAGTCATATTTACATACTGACTGCGTATGTTAGTTTCTTCCAAATTTGGCTTGAGTCAGACATTGACCAGCACTGTGGTTAGGTGGACACATTGCCATAAATTAGCTATTGGCTATTGTGTTGTTATCTGTCTCCCCCAAACCCACTTTGAGCTGGATGCATCCATCATGACTACCACTGGTGATTATCGCTTGAGCAGGATTACGGAAAACGTCAGGTCAGGGTGGGGGGGTTGGCAGGGGAGCAGGGAGAGCACACTGCCACAGCTTAAACACATTACTGAATGAATGAATTCTTGCTTAGCCTGAAATGCAGGAAAAACATATCCATGAAATAAACAATGTGGAAAATTCTTTACAAATTTAACAGTATCAGTAGGTCTGATCTGGAATGGTTCTTAAGAACTCACTCAGTCAAACAAATGAGATTTGTTTTTGTTTTTGTTTTTTTTAATAACCCTACAAGAATTAAAATTTCTAAATTAAAAAGTATTTCTCCATGTCTCTTTAAAAAGAAAGGAAGTGAGAAAACTACAATATAAAGTTCCAGAGCTTCTCTTTGCTTTCAGAAAAGCATCTCTACTTTGAAAGTTAGGAAAGTGTTATTCATGTTTCCCTTTTTTTAAAGTAACTGATTAGCATTCTTGTTATATATTTTTATACTATTCAGTTATATAAATATAGTTTAAGACATCTGTTATATCAGGTTTCAGGCATCTTACCATTGGTGAATTGATTAGAAAACACAGGATTGCTTCTAACAAGATTGCTTGCAACAAGTTGTAACAAGGTATCTTTTTTCTGAACTCAGACATGATACATGTTTTAAAAGAAGGAAACAAAAAAAAGAAAAGTCTTAAGTATTACACTGGCTTCATTTTCTTTTATGCTAACAATAGTGAAAAATGAAGTATTAAGCAACCTTGGAAATAAACATATTTTATACACGATTTAAATTCAATGTCTACAGAATATCTCTATATTGTTGGTAAATAGGAGTTAGTATAGCAGACTTATCCCCAGTGTCATTGCATTTTAGGCATAAGTGTGTCCTATTGTATAGTTGATATTCATATGAGGCACCAAAAAAAAAAGAATAAATACCTAGAATAGTGTCTGTTGTCCATGTGCTTAGGCACTGAAGTATCTGCATCTGCCACCAGGGAGGGATATATAAACATTAGACAACAGCTAGGGAATATTTTGTGTTGCCACCTTATTTCTGGCAAAATGAGACTTGCAAAGATGTCACTGATGAATGCTGTGATTTCTGTTTCCCTGCTCAGGAGAGGAGTCACTCACAATTTTTGTGGACAAACGGAAGCTGAGCAAGAGGTCAGAAGGAAGTGATCCCAGCACAAACAGCTCTGCTGTGAATCTGGAGACCCTGCACCAGCTCGCAGCCTCCTACTTCATTGACAGGGACAGCACACTGCGCAGACTCCACCACATCCAGATTGCCTCCACTGCCATAAAGGTAGGGGAAATCCTCTAGGACCAGCCTGCAGATGTGTTCCCAGATTCACTACCTGCTTCTCAGGAGAAATGTGTTTTGATTAGCAAAAAAAGATTTCTTAGCAAAACAATAATTTTTGTTCTAAACTATTTTACCTGAATCAAACCATTCATTGATAATGAAGATTCTATCTTAGAAGAGGGTCTAGCACACTAAAGTTATTACTCTTGATGACCAATACATAATTTGAATGATACTAATGGCCCTTATAGAAGTATTTGGTCATTGAGACAATCTCCTTTACATGTGCGCTCAGCAACTGCATTTATAGGCAGACTTATATCTGTGTATGGGCGCATACAGTTCCCTCCTGTTTCTTTTTTTCTTTCTTTTTCTTCTTTTTTTTTTTTTTTTTTCCAACATAGTTATTGTACTCCTGTGACTGAAATGTTTTTTTTTTTTTTAACATTTTTTTTTTTTTACTGACCTTTGGAACAATTTAGAGCTCTTGGTTCTACAGTTTTGTGGAGGCACATCTTATTTTCTGTTAGGAACTTATTTTACTACAGTTTGTCTGTCAAAGCATCCTGCCTACTGACTGCTGTAGGTTACTCATAACACTGGAGGATGCTTGGCTAAGATCAGTGCCCTGGTAGGTATTATATAAAGCAACAACTGTTCTTTTGAGCAGCTCTCAGCCTAATGTTCCTTATTTGAAATCATACAATCATAGAATCGCTAAGGTTGGAAAAGACCCTTAAGATCATCGAGTCCAACTGTTAACCTAACACTGCCAAGTCCATCACTAAGCCATGTCCTCAGACACCACGTCTACCCATCTTTTAAATACCTCCAGGGATGGAGACTCAACCACCTCACTGGGCAGCCTGTTCAC